TCCCAGAGTGAGAGAGGGCATAGGCCTGACTGAGGCCCCCCTCCCTCCCCTGAGTGCACAAATTTTTGTGCACTGGGCCTCTAGTTATAAATAATGCTGCAACGAAATATAGGGGTTCATATATATTTCCCAGTTAGAGTTTACATTTCCTTCAGCTAAATATCCAGAAGTGGAATTGCTTGCTGGGTTGTATGGTATAAAAATTTTTAGTGTTTTGAGGAATTGCTATAATATTTTCCATAGTTTTTTCAATGCAATGAGTATACTTTAAAAATTATATCTATCTATCTATCTATCTATCTATCTATCTATCTATCTTTCATCTATCTATCTATCATCTATCTATCTGTCTAATATGCCTATAAAATGCAGCAACAAAGAATGAAATCTAGCCATTGTGGCAATAGGAATGGATCTAGAAGGTATTTATGCTAAGAAAAATAGGGCAGGCAGAGAAAGACAAATATTCAATAGTCTCACTTATATTTGGAATCTAAAAATCAAAAGAAACAAATAAATAAAAGAAAACAGACTCATAGAAAAAGAGATCAAAGAGATGGTTAGAGAAGGCAGGAAGTGAGGAATGAGTGAAAAAGTGAAGGGGAATATAGTCACTAATATTGTGATAAGTTTGCATTATGACAGATGATTATTAGCATTAGTGAGGTGATCACCTTTGTAAGGCATAAAGATCTAAAATAACTATATTGCACACCTGAAACTACTACAACTAATATAATATTGTATATCAAGTATACTTAAATAAATAAAATAAAGGTTACACATTTTACAAAAATTTAAAGTAGTGTTCTCATAGATCTTCCTCTAACCTGCTGATATATTACTCATTCTGTATTTGTTTCCACTGTCAATAAACTCTCCACTCTCATAAGTATCTATGGAAACACAGCCCATCTCTATCACACCTTACATCTTTTTAGTTCTCCAGTCCTGTTGGTTCTTTCTCCACAATGTCTCCTAGATCTCTCTTACCTTTATTCATTCCCATGACTACTATGTGACTGAAAACTCTACTCATTGCTCACCTCAGCAACATCCTGTCTCTGTAAAAAATTAACTAAATTAAAAAGTTTCTTCCAATGTAATTTGTTCTGATCTCTCATGCCTCCAGTCCATTCATTTCTGAACTAGGAAGTTTCTTCCTCGAGTAAAATTCTCCTCACTTCACCTTTCCAAATTATTTGTGCTAGACTACCAAATCCAGGGTGGGGCGAATGTAGGTTTTCAGTTGTTTATATAGAAAATAATAAAATAATTAATAAATAATTATACAAGAACTAGAGGCCCAGTGCACTAATTTGGTGCACTGAAGGGGCGCGTCCCTCAGCCCGGCCTGCACCCACTCACAGTCCGGGACTGCTCGGGGATGTCCACCTGCCAGCTTAGGCTCAGTCCCCCCCAGGGATTGGGCCTATGCTGGCAGTCAGACATCCTTCTTTCAGTCGGGTTCTCGCAGTCCAGAACCGCTTGCTCTTACCACCTGCTTACAGTGAAGTCAGGAGAGGCTCCTGCCACTGCCACTACACTCACCAGACATGAGGCCAGCTCTGGCTGAGCAGTGCTCCCCCCGTGGGAGTGCCCTGACCACCCGGGGGCAGCTCCTGCATTTGAGCATCTGCTTCCTGGTGGTCAGTGCATGTCATAGCGACCAGTCATTCTGCTGTTCAGTCTATTTGCATATTAGGGTTTTATTATATAGGATATTGAATCATTATGTTGTACACCTGTTATATCAATTCTATCTCAATAAAGATTTTAACA